CCAGCCATAAAACTATCAAGCTCAGTCTTGAACACTCAAATATAATAGAATCATAGGGCAGCAAGAGACCTAAGGAGATCATCGAGTCCAGTCCCTGCCTAAAGCAGGGCCAATCCCAACTCAATCAGCCCAGCCAAATATACCTGCCAATGCCACAGAAGAGTACAACAGAGTAACAGTTTGGGAAGCCTCTTTGAGACACAACATGCTTGTTACTATGGGCAGCTTGCAAATAACAGTCTAGCCCTATGTGGTGCAACTATTCATTTAGTCCATAAATTCCATTAAATTCAGTGGAAGATATTCTTCTGAAAGGAATGAGCCTTTAATGGCTAGCGTCAAACGTATACATATGTATTGACTGTAGGGCTACAATAAGAACTGAAATGCTAGTATAATTATACTACTACTAATATACATAGAATTAGAATGAGGACCAATATGAGAAATGACAGTCCTTAAAATCTATGGTAAATAAATCATTTAAGGTGCGTCTACACAGCAGGGTTTAATTTGAAATAAGCTACACAAATTGAGCTACGTCAATTACATAGCTTATTTCGAGTTTTGGTGCTGTCTACACAGCACTTATTTCAAAATAGAACACTCTTCCTCTGACTTCCCTTACTCTTTGTACAATGAGGGTTACAGGAGTTAGAGTAAGAAATCCTCCAGCTTGACAGTATTTCAATATTATGTTGAAATAATTGCCAGCTGTGTAGATGCAGACTATGTTATTTTGAAATAATGTTGCTGTATAGACATAGCCTTAGGCTGCAAAGTAGAACCTTGATTTCAATTGGATGCCAGATGAGTGCAAAGAGTTGGTATGTTGTTCCTTTGTCAGAAGTAGGTCCTTACTCAGTAACTAAAAAATACAAGACTGCAAATCAATGCAGAGAATTGGTGGTGGAGCTGAAAACAGAACAGAGGAGTCCTGACTTCTTTTGTTATCTGTTCCATTCTTATTAATCACTGTAATTCAGTCTAATCAAATTCTCAACCAAACACAAATATCGTTTTACTGAGACAACACATATGCCATATCATCAAGTAGTGATTGTTAGATACTTCTCAGTGATGGAGACCCATACACACATACTAATGAAGGTATGTCACATGGGCTAGCCATCAGAGAAAAGGACCAGGGACTAATGAAAGTCTGATTGGCTTTTTTGCCATAAGTATGCACAAGTCATATAACCTTTTCATAAACCCATGAATTTGGATGGAACTCATGATAACATTAAAAAAAATCTGAACTGTATTTTACTCTACTCAGCCAGTAATACTGCTCCTAAGAAAACAGGGAATTAGACAATTAAGAGCAGGATCTTTGGAAACCTTTTGGAGAAGACCTTGAGAACAACACTGGTATCTCTGTTCCTATGGCTCCCGTTTTTATAAAATGATCACTAAACTTTATCTGAATGCAATAGAATCAGACATAGCTACAATAGCAATCTGGATAAGAGCAGAGCCAACCAAATAGTTCATTAAAAAAAACCTTTAGTTGAGTTTCACTCTCTTTCCTTTGAAACCGCATTATTTATTATTTTAACTAGCCACCAACTGTTTATGTAAATATATTTCACTCATTTGCTCACCTAAACTGTTTGCATTATTTCTGGTGGATGCTTGGTGATCTAAGTGTTAAAGATCTAGTGGTATTTTGCTCCCAAAATGGATGACTAAAACTTAACCCCCCACATCCCCCCCAAAAAAACCAACAACAAAAAAACCTAAACCACAAACCAAAACTAAAAACAAGCACTGGAGAATACAGAATGACAAAGTACACCTTCTAGCACAAATATTTGAAGGCATAACTAGTCTTACTAAAACTTGTGAAATTTTTAGATTTAAAAATGCTTTGACAAAAGAGAAAAATAAAACATTTCAAAGATGAAATTTTGATCAAAAATGAAAAAAATTCTAATCAACTCCATTCTTGAATTCCCTAGAGCAATCCCAATTATTGAACAATGATAACCTGATCACCACAAATAACAGTGAATTGCCTTCAATTTTTCAATTTATGAATATATTTTAATCATATTTTATATTATTTGACCATCTCCAGGTAGTTTTATTGATAATTGCATTCTCTGAGGTCATCTTTTTATAAAAAGTTTTCAATATTGACATACTTGATGCAGCATTCATTGCCAGAAAATTAAATAAATCTAGATTGTCACAAGAGGTCTTCATTGTCATATATAGATATGTGCAGCCGCTCTTTAATAATGGATTTTTGAAAACAAGAGATGACACTTTCTACTAATGAAACCAACTATGTTGGCCTTAGGAATGCCTACTGCTGTGTGAAAGAACAAAAACAAATAAAACAGGAAGAATGTCTGAAATCATTTGCAGTATGCCATAGATATATCTAGTTGAGAACAAGGAGTAGTCCATAAATAAAATCACCAACTGGTGATATCCACTATGAAACATATGTTTGTTTGCATGTATTGATATAAGCAACAAACTGAAAATTGCCAACAAAGTTGAGAATACTGAAGCTCTCAACTAATATTTACATAGAGATTGCAGGTTGCATTCCCCTCATCCTCAAAGTGTAATTGTAAGGACTAGCATCACTAGGAATTGAGTGGAAACTATTTCCAGAAGTTACTGAGGCACATGAAATATGCACATTAAGTCTTTTTTAAAACTCTTCTATAGAGAAGAGCTGTACATCAGTTCTACTTTCTATTTCAACTGAATGCCCCTCTATATAGCAAACTCTATGATGCTCACTTTATTTACATCAGGTAAATGAAGGCTTGAGTCCACGGTATTCCAAGGTATTTCAGTTATGCATGCAATTCCCATTACACTTTATGGGAGTTGCACCCCTCTATGCAAGAGTGAAGTAGGGCCCTTTGTATTTAGGTCAGTAGATCATTAATTCTGGCATTATAATCAGTTTTTTTGGAATCAATTCTATCTTAGATACTTCAATAAATAAATGTAATAATGATTAAAATATTACATCATATTATACAAAGTACAGATATCTGTCAGTAGTTTTGATTTGCCTAGATTATATTCCAGACATAAATCACATCATTATGTAGGAAGTGCAAAAATACAAGTTAAAAGGCTCATATCTGGCAAAGCCGGGGTAAAATACTTCCTACAAAATTTTGGTAAAGAACTTTTGATTCCAACTCAGCAACAACACTGGCAAAGACAGCACAATGATGCCGATTTCCTTCAGCCAATACTATTTACACTGAAAAGGGGTTTTGTTTACTTTGGATTAATAGCATGAGACATTGTCCTTTTTAGCTATTCACTTCTGACTCATCCTGCATATTGTAGGTCAGTTGAGGCAGCCCTTGATGTACAAACATGTAAACAAAGCTTCCAAATCTCCACTGTTTATGTAATTCAAAAATAAGTAAACTGAAAACTGACAAAGAACAATCTTACAATATGATGACATTTTAATTTATTAAAATAACTTAGTAGAATTTATTCACAAAGGATTGAAAGAGTGCATCTAAATATAAAACATGGACATTCATAACACTAATGATTTTCTTACATTATATTCGGGTTTTCATGTAGTAATATCTGGGAGTATCTGGAGCTTATAGTTGGTCAGAAATTGAATATGAGCTCACAATAAGGTGCAGCTGAGAAAATAGTTCATATCAGCTGGGGTATATTAACAAGAATATGGTATATAAGATATAGCACTGATTGTTCTGCTTTTTGTGGCACTGGTGAGACCTCAGTTTTAGTTGTGAATAAGACATTTTAGGAAAGATATGGACAAGTTGGAAAGAGAGGCCAGAGGAAAGCAACAAAAATGATTAAAAGGTTTAGAAAATATGACTTCCGCAGAAAGGTTTTTAAAAACTGAGTGTGCTTAATTTTAAGAAAAACAGACTGAAAGGAGACGGATAAAAATCTTCAAATGTGTTAAGGGCTGTTCTGAAGAGGATGGTGATCAATTGTTCTCCATACCTGGAAGTAAAGTAAGAAACTTAATTTGCAGAAAGGGAAGCTTAGCTTGGTTGTTAGGAAAAAGCTTTCTAACCATAAGCATAAATAAGTACTGGATAGACCTGTCAAGAATGGTCTAGCCATACTCACCATAGGGGGTGCTGGACTAGATGACCTCTTAAAGTCCCTTCTAGCCCCACATTTCTATGATTCTATATATTTTTGAATTTTGTAGCCAGGTACTATGCCACTTTGTTAACCATGTCATAGAACTGTCAGAAGTGTTTTTGAGGTTGGAGGGGGAGAACCCTTTTTCTTGTCCTTATTGTTGTAAAGCAAACTATCTGAATGTAAACGGAGAAAAACAGCTACATCATTTCTTTGCCTATATCAATGGTGTATTAATTTCTGTAAGTTTTTGAATGACTCAATAATTTTACCTCTTACTGCTCATCGCTCTAAGGGCGTTAGTACCCTTCCTATCTAATTGCTATCCTATGAGCCTTATCTGCTTCTAATAACTATCCAACCTTTAGATACTTATAGACTACCAGCTCTGCCTACTTGTTTTTCCCTTTGATATTTTCATTCCCTCTGCTCCTTGTGTCCCATCCCCTTCTTTTTTTTCCTTTCCCCCTTTTCCTTCTCCCCTATTTATTTTGGGTCTGCATATCCTAAACTCCAGTCATTTGAAGAAGTGGGCTGTGCCCACGAAAGCGCATGCCACCATCTAATGTTTTGTTAGTCTATAAAGTGCTACCAGACCATTTGTTGTTTTTTTAAGTTTACAATTCAATATGCTTATTATTCCTCAAAGTTATGGTGGGTACTGAAGGCAATTAGTACCTAGGCTTGATCAAAAAGCAGAGGCGGTGGTCAAGTTGTACTTATGTCTGCCTCAGCCATCTTCTTGTGTGTCGAAATCTCTAAACATCCCATAACCAGCTGTCAAAACCTCCCACTTCCACTCTTCTACAATGCAGTTAAGTGTTCTCCAATCAGGAATAGGATGAAATTGAAAATCAGGATATAATATAAAATGTTATATTTAATATTAAAGAATACAGGAACCAAACTGATTGAATTATCTATTGCCATGTTTGATGTGATAATTATCATTCTGCTTTTGCAACTTCTTGAACCTGTCACAGAACATGCAGCCTTCTGAAGAATTCTGTCATGGAGAACTGGCGAAAAGGCGGGCTTTTGCAGAACATTCACATCCAGTTTGCTGCAGAGGACATGTAATTCATTAGATACCACCTTTCATTCTGAAAGAGTCACATTTAATCCATTATTTACATGCAGGTAACTCTGAAATGAGCAAAGCAAGTGTTCCACAAACATGAAGCAATGGTACACAAAAAGGTATGTCTCCAATACTCTGAGAAATTCAGTGCTACTTTGTGTGGATAAAAAGCCTGCCTAATGAAAACTGAAGCTTGCTGTCTTCACAGCAAAAAGGGGTGCTGTTACATGGAGATCACTATCCTAGGAGATGGGTAGGTTTTCCCTTGATGTAAGTAGCTGAGGAGAAGTTCAGGTGGAAGGTAGTATTGACCACTGAATAAATCAAAATATAAACTACTCGTGCTTTGTGTGCATTAGTATTCTTAACTCACCGATCTTAAAGCAAAATCCTATCTTGATATGAAAACACTTTTTTTGCGATTAAAACAGACTATAGACAAGAAGATGATCATCTCCAATTGATCCTGACAAGAACATTATAGTTATAATTATCATGCACCTATTATTCTTTATAACTTCCATCTAAGAACTGATCCATCTAAAAACTCCATTCCAATTAGCTTGCTAAATCTGGGAGGTAACTCACCCCAGAAATACTGTTTAGATGTTACTGCTTCATCAGTATTATATTTAGGAATAATAAAATGCAAGAATAAATGGGAAGGATGTTATTGTACACTGGGGATAGGTGTAAAAAAGAAAAATAAAGTAAGATATGACCAGACACACTTTCCTCAGATGAAAAGAAAATTGATGTTCCAAAAGGTTTGCAGGCATTTTTTTACATTATATGTTCATACCTGACTGTATCTGAAGTTCTATGGCATTCTCTCCTTTGTAGTTCTCCTTTTATACAAAGTAGCCCAATACTAGTAGTGTGATTCAGAACTAAAGTGCTACACTGCAATTTCTGCAAAGAAAGGTAAATTGGAAAATTAAAACAATATAGAGAAAAAATCCCTATATCCTTCCAATACAGTATCACAGCCAAGAGTCAATCTGGAAAAAATAGGGGTTAGAAAAAAAGTAGAAATAAAGACCATTTTTAAAGTGCTTCAGCTTCAATTGAATGATTTCCTTAAATGCTGCTATTTTCATTGAAATTTAGACTTTGAAGTTAATGCCTTACCAAGGTGAATTGTGGAGTACAGTTCCCTCCCCGCCTCCCCCATTGTTGCTATTGTTTAGCAAGAGACAGTTTTCTGAAAAGTTAGGTTAAGAGGGCAACAAAACAACCTGCTCTTTGTAATGTGAAAAACCTTCGCCAACGGAAAGGTTAAACATTTATTTTATTTTTTACAGAAAGCTTGAGTTTTACAAGGATGAAACCAAAACTGTGGGGGAAATTAAGTATTACAGAAGCCACTTGCATTAATCCATTTACATTAAAACATATGAATTGTGAAAGTTTGCCAAAGAAAAATCCCACAATTTTAAAACAAATACTGCCCTATTGTTGCAAGTTATTCTGCATGGATGGACCCTGGCACCTACCAAAGCCAACTGATTTAAACTGGGTTACATGTAGGCCCAGGGGTCTATGAATAGCTTGTTGCATGTGCAACTTTGCTATCATAGTAAATCTAGTAATTTAAATGCAGAATGTGTAGGACAATTCAGCACATGCAGACGTGTTTACATGATCTGAGCCTAAATAGAGATAAACATTGCAAAGCTTTGCCTTGCATACCACCTTCACTAAGGGGACTAGTGTATTGACCTGGACAGTCCGGTATTTTTGCCTCCTGTCCCATAAAAAAAATCAGAAAATACTGGACTCTTAAAATGTCTGGTATTTTCTGTTTTTTTTCCCCTGCCAGGAGGTGAAAATACCAGATACCTGGCAACCCTACAACACACTTAGCAACTGAGCTCAGCCGGCCCCTGAACCTCGTTTACGTGGTTCCACAAGGAAGCTCCCTTCTGGCTTGACCAAGAGAACAAGATGGCCACAGGCAAAAAACCTAAAGACCTGAGCAAGGGGAAGTGATGCCTTCCCTGGGTCTTAGTGCTCAACCTCCCCTCTTCCTATCTCTATTCTGAGTCTGCCTGCAATTAAAGGGGCCATGCTATTTGTTTTATTTTATTTATTTATTTTTTGCTTAATAACTCTGGGGTGGGGGTGGTTTTTATTTTTTTGCTCAACACCTTTGGTCTCTCCCCCTTTTTCCCCCCTCAACAGAATTTGTTCCCCATTTTTTGGGGGGGAGGGGGTGTTCAGTATTTTTGTTGAAACCATCTGGCAAACCTAAAAGGGACTGCTCTCCCTTTACTAAAACTCAGTGGGGCTTTTTGGTTGGTTAGCTCCCACTATCAAAAGGAATGAGAAATCAGGATCCTGAGATGGACAGCCCCTAAGAACAATGGCAAGAGGCCAGAGCTCCAGGTCAGCCTGATTGCAAGGGGGGAGGGGGTGTTCAGTATTTTTGTTGAAACCATCTGGCAAACCTAAAAGGGACTGCTCTCCCTTTACTAAAACTCAGTGGGGCTTTTTGGTTGGTTAGCTCCCACTATCAAAAGGAATGAGAAATCAGGATCCTGAGATGGACAGCCCCTAAGAACAATGGCAAGAGGCCAGAGCTCCAGGTCAGCCTGATTGCAAGGGCATGCTGGCCTGAGGGGGTGAGGAGTCGGGGGGGGGGGGGGGGGGGGGGCGG